GTAATGAGGGGCCCAAAACTGAGCACAATACTCCAGTTGCGGGCACCTCATTACAGGAAGGATATAGCCAGGTTAGAGTCAGTGCAGCGTAGGGCTACAAGGTTGGTGGCCGGTTTGCAGGGGATGCCGTATGAGGTGAGACTGAGGGAACTGGGTCTCTTCAGCCTGGAGAAGAGGAGACTCAGAGGGGACCTGTTGGCGACATACAGGTATGTGAGGGGGTGTCACACAGAGGTGGGTAGAGGCCTGTTCTCCCCTGCAGAGGAAGGCAGGACGTGCTCGAATGGAGCAAAGCTCAGGGAGCCAAGGTTCTATTTGGATGCCAGGAAGCACTTCCTGACAGTTGGGACCCCGAGGGTGTGGAATGGGCTTCCACGGGAGGTGGTTGAGGCCCCATTGGTGCGGGTGTCCAAGGATAGGCTGGACGTCCACATGGTGGGCATGTCGTGAGTGGAGCTGGCTGGTGCCGGGGGTCAGACTAGATGGCCCAGGAGGCCCCTTCTGACTCGCTCTGTTTTCTATGTTTCTATGTGTTGAAGGCCTCTTCTGCCCAACGCCAGATTTGCTATGGGCAGAATCCCACAAGGTTGATTTTCCATAGGGAGATGGTTGGCTCCTGTGTGAACTGAATGCTGGACTAGAGAGACTCTTGTCTGACCCAAAACGTCTCAGCTCTTAGGTGACTTACCCTCCCGTATGTAGTGATCTAGAGGCTTAGGGTCTTCGTAAATGACATCCAAATCTCTGTCGAATAGTGACTCCATCACTGCATTCCAAACGGGTCCCACTGAGCAAAAAGGTCATTCCTGCTAGAAAAACAAAAAGAAGATGGCCCCCTGGCCAGCGCTAAGATCTCCGAATCAGGTGTCCCAAGGTATTGGGTTTGGGGCAGAGAGTTGCGTGCAAAGGTTCTCCGCCCTGCCTGAGCGATTCAAGATGGAGGAACTTTTCACAGAATTTCTCCTGCAGGCGGAGAAACTCTCCAACGGTTTCTTGAGGGTGAGGCTTGCCAATAGTGGTGGGATGTCTTTCCTTCCAAGGGAGCTTTTCCCACCGATTTCTGCTTTAGAATTGCCAGAGAGCTTTGGCTGTGAGGTAGTAGAGAAATGTGTTGTTGTTGTTGTTGTTGTGTTGTAAGGGGTAGTGGGGTTCACAATCTGGTCACTGTGTGATACCAAGTATGGAGGAAAGGAAGGAAGGAAGACCGACCGACCGACCTTCCAATTTCTGCACCTCATAAAATGGCCTGCTGTGAAATTTTGGCCCCGCCGTTGCTTAGGCTCTGTTCTGAACGGGAAAGCTGCACGGCACAAGGAAATAACGAATATCAGAAGAGACTTGCTGGACCATTTCAAAGCCCAGTTAGTCCCAGCTCCTCTTTCCACAGTGACCAGCCAGGTGTTTCCAGGAAGCTCATAAACAGGATGGGAATGCACTGGGCGCCCCTGCTATTCTTACCCCTCCCTAGCCAGCACACGGCACCCAAGGTATATCGTGCCTGAGGCTGGAAGTCCAGTTGGTGATCCTGGCCAACAGCCATTGATTTGTCCATCTCACCTAATTTTGCAGCTCATAACCTAGTCAGCTGCTAGCTGCCAGGCCAGGCCTCCCCCGAGGCAAGGCGAAACTCTTCCTCCACGCTGCCCCCACGCGGGAGCCCAGCATTTCATGCCAAGCGTGTGGCGGCCACTTCCACCCTGCCAGGCATCTGTGAGGAATCCAGTTTTGGGGGGGGGGGAATCTGTCAGATTGCACTGGACTCTGGCCCGCTCTCTCCTGCTCTCTGCATCCGCCTTATGCCGTTTGCAAAGGCGTCCAGCAGGAAGCGAGTTCTAGCAGAGTTCTGTGTCGGCACATCTAACTTGCCAGCTTCGTGCGCTTTGCACCAAGCAGCTGGCTTGCTTGCCACTCATCTCACTTCCTGGCCAGGGTGGAGCATAGAAACAAAGCCTGGGGAGCATGAGAGAGCCAGACCCCAGCCTGGTCTTTGCATCCCTAACCTGTGCTCTGGGCAGAAAGCTTTCTCTCAGCCGGTTCACACCTGCTGCCATTCAGTCTCTTTCACTTGATCTCTAGGGTCGAGAAAGAAACGGAGCAAACTGAACTCCTGCGTTTTTCACGCCATGCATGTTCTAAACCTCCATGAGGTCCTTTCCTTGCTGCCTTTTTGCACCAATAACATTATTCCCGATGATCATTTCAACTGTTATTCACAGGTAAGTCCATTCATTGTTTTTTGGGTGCCTATTTTGGCATCTTGCAACTTTAAGTATTCCTTTCTAGATCAGGTGAGCAGAAATAGGGGTGTCTGCAAATCATATTCACTTGTCTCAGCGTGAGAATATAAGAGCCCTCAATTTCAGCTTTCCCAAGGGAAAAACAAACAAGATGAGCGGAAGTGAAGAACTGTTCACCTGTGCCTCGAGGGGAAAAACACAAGTGGCAGTGAAATATGTTTTCATAATAAGCTGAGTTCAAAGTCAAGGTACAGTGGTACCTCGGCTCACAAACGCCTCAGTTCACGACTAAATCGGCTTGCGAACAGAAATTTTGGAAAAATTTTGCCTCAGTTTGCGAACTCCGCTCGGGTGACGATCGTGATCGCGCCCATCTTCCCTGAAAAAATGCAACTGCGAGCATGCCCTTGCTGGGGGGGGGGGGGATGGCTGCAATCTTTGTTTTTCTTCATTACTTTGTTTCAAATTTTTGTGATTTTAAAATATGGCTACAGAACGGATTAACCTTATGTACATTGAGCCTTATGGGGAAATTGGACTTGGCTCACGACCAATTTGGGTCGCGACCAGCGTCATGGAATGGATTAAGTTCGTGAGCCAAGGTACCACAGTATGTGCATGAAACGTGACGTGGTACGGAGACAGAAGGGCTTTGCAAATCAGCTGCTTTCTCCGCAAGTCAACTGCCGTGACTTGGATTTGCAATGAACTTGCAAAACTTGAAATGCACATGTTCTTCCAAAGCCCAGCAAAACATCAGCTCCTGCGGGGAACCCCATATTGTTTGGAAGCTTGGCCTCCCGGTGCCGTTCCATATGTTTCAGTGGCAACACAGATGTACTTTCCTGCACAGTCTTAAAAATGGTGTCAGAGAGCAGGATGGCGGGACAGCCCTCTGCGGAAGAATTGCTGCCAGCTTGAAGAGCCATACTGGGACTGGTGGAACGGGCATTTGACTCGGTTTATGGTGGTAGAACAGAAGAGCTCTGCCAGGCCAAAGACCAATAAGGCCACCATTTTGTTCCCACAGAGAACGTGGGAAGTCCGGACATAAATACAATGCCCCCTTCCAATCTGTGTTCACCAGCAATGCATATTCAGAGGCCCTGGTTATCACATGTCGCAATCAGGACTAATAACCATTAATAGCTTGCTCTTCCTTCAAAGGCCCAAGTTGGCAGCCATCCATACAACTTGCAGCAGCAAATTCCATGTTTGTTTATTCTCTATATCTCACAGTAACCAGAGCTCTCTGGGGCAATTTACAACAACCCATAAAAAGAAAATACAAAATACAAACAACACTGGAAATTTCTTCAGCAGGTTACTGTTAAAAAATTAAACCCAACTAAAAGGCATATTTAAAAGGAACAGCAGCTATAGGAATTACTCAGACAATCTGTTTAAACAGCTAGCAAAGCTCCAATGAACTAATTACATGCCCAGTGGTAGAAGACAGGCGTAACCTGGCTCCAACAGGATATTAAAGTTGGCACCCAGTGGGCCACAGTGGTAAATGGGGTCCTGAACTGGGAGGCCACCACCTGAAAGTCCCCTCTGCATGTAGCCACCAACCAAGCCCTCTTGGAGGAGGCGATTGGAGGCAAGCCCCAGAGTTTGATTCGAGTGTCTGGATAGATTGTGCTCAGGTGAGGCAGTTGATCGGCTTCCAAGCTGTGCAGAGCTAGTTCCATAGTTTAGACAGGCATTCTTTGAAGAAACTCTTCCTCTTCTCTTGTCTTAAATCTCCCACTAATCTTTTGGGTCTAGTTATGAAAGAGGAAGCACATGACCCTCTCCACCGTCTGCATAATGTACATGCTTCAGTGGACAAATTTCTTTTCCTTCCTCATCCTCACTAGCCCTTCTTTTCTCTACAGTGACCCAAATCTTTGTAACTTTTCCCTCGTGGCAAAACTGCTTCCACCCCAAATTATTCTGATTGCTCTTTTCTTCTGCATCTCTTCAAGCTGTACAATCTCCTTTTAAGGGTGACCCCAGCTAAACACAATCGTCCAACAATGGTTTCATTGCAGATGTGTACAAAGCCATCACAATGCTGGCCTTTTGATTTTCACATCCTTTCCTAATCATGCCCAACACACTGGTTTCCTTCTTCACAGCTGCTCCCCGATGGGTTCATGAGTTCCCTGAGCCACCCACCAAACCCCAAGTTCCCCCTCGTGGCCAGCCAGCTTAGTCTCCAACCCACATCCATCTATACGGAGATAGAACCATGATGTGCGTCACTTTATACCCAAACACCGTTTGCTATTTTAATGCCTCGTCCTCCAGCGTGGAGGATTTCTCTTGGAGCATCTATTTGGGTTTTGCTTCTTATCTACAGAGACTTTGCACTCCTTTGCCCGAACTCTGGAAGGCAGCAGAGAACCTGCTTCCTGCTAGTGATCATACAGAACGTTGCCTACGCAAAGGTCCTTACGGCTCAAAACGCAAAGGCCAAAGTGCCTCAGATTTATTCCCCTGGATGAGCACAGGTGCTGGGCAGGAATATTCCAGAGGCAGCAAGCCTTCCCGCCACCCACAGCCTGCAGCTGGGCTTCCCCCCGTTCCTGCAACCGCCCCTGAGCTTTGCCCCAGTTCTCACCCCTGCCTGTGTCCAGACACGTGGCGTCACGCCTGCTTGTGCACCCCGCAATCCTTGGGGGCCCATTTTGTCCTCCCCAGCCTGATCGTCAGCCTGATTGGCCCCCTTGGGACAGGTGTCATAGTCTGTTTTGCATATTTCTGCCCTGCTGTGTCAGCCTCTTTGTGTGTGTGTGCACGTGCACAAGGGTACAACTGTAGCCTCCGTTCGGATGGGGAAAGGGACATCAAGGGCAAGGTCTGAAATGAAAATGAGTACAGGCGAGGGGCTGTATTACAATCTTCGTAATCTTACGATCTGAGCTCATTATTCTAATGGAGTATCAGAAATGTGTGTGCTTCAGGAACACCCCCAGTTAGTTTGGAATGTTACAATTGTCGTAAAATGCCTTAATGCCAGTATGTCCGTCTGAGTGTTGAAGGAGTCCGAGACTCTCTGCATCCATGGACACATTTAGAGTTTTGTGAGTGCCGTGTGCACTCTCACAAAATGGCTGCCATTGGGGTTTGCCCAGTCATCAGATGGCTGCTAGAGATTAGTAGCAGTAGTTCTATAACCAGTCTTTGACCCGAAATAAAGAGGGTGCTGAAAAACAGGAAGTTTTGTTTAGCATGCCACTAAATAAAATGATACAATTTGGAAAGTAAGGAACAAGTTAAAACTCAGGGCAGGGAGCCCAAGAGAGGTAGCCCCCCACCTTGATGGCACTCAAAAGCAAACAAAGCCATTTTGTGTTGCCTGCTATTGTTTCAGAATGACCAGCACTCAAAGAGTGAGTGGTTTGCTTTGCCCCGTGACCCTGCTCTCCACCGCTGTGCTCATTCATTCCTGCCAGGCGCTTGCTTCCCGGGCATTTGACTGCCAGGCAGAGAGGAAGCCTTGTGCTTCGTGGGGACAGTTCGGGTGCAACGCTGGGCCACGGTTTCATGCTGGGAGACCAGTGAACATGTGTGTCGCCCAGACCCACACCTCGCTCCACTTCTGGCGCAGCTGCGTGCGGAAGAGGGAAGGATGCGCGAGCCAGGCAACATCT